TTCTAATATCAAATTTGAGCAGACCTTTCTTACTTCAGCCATTTAATTTTTATTTTTATTTTTATTTTTAATTTTTATTTTTTGTTGTTTTTGTTTCATGTCTGGTTACAATGTTCGGGCACCTCAAACGGGATATGAATGGCTTACATCTGACGAATACCTCCAAAACACCTATGATATGCCTCCGTTTTGTTCAGCATGTGGTGGAAATCATTATTCCGATCAATGTTGGGTATCACCAACAGCGACGAATTTCGACGAAATTACCAACGGAGGTTATCGGAACACTTACACCCACAACTTATACGAGCAAAGCTTTCAAGATCAAGATTTGAACGAGTTTCAACATAGAGAGCCACAATTTGATGCTTTTCAAAATTATTATCCAATGCAGCAGCGGCAGACCACTGATGAACAAGTTGATTTGGTATCCCTCATTGCCGAATTCATGAAGTCCACTCAAACATCATTTCAAAACATGGAGATACAACTGGAAGAGATGACACTCAAATTAAAATCTGAATCTCTTGAAAATATTCCAGACGAAATCGGCAATGGTTATATTAAAGAAAATTCGGGTGAAGCCTGCGGTGAGAAAAATCTTCTATGTCCGGAAAATAGTGTCGATGTGAGAGAAATAGAAATTACGAAGACACTTGAGCATGATGAATCTGAGAAGGCAATCGAGCTAAACCACGAAGATGCCTCAGAACAAGAGAAGAAGGAGATGGATGTAATGATTGAAGATATTCTAGTTGTGGTCCCTGTCGTTGATCTAAATGTAGATTTGAAGGCATCAATAGAGGTTGACGAGAAGACGAAGGTGTTTGAAGTGGAGGTTATACGCGGATGTGAGGTTTTTGTGTACCGATTTGAGGGAGCGGGTGATGAAGATCCCATCTTGGCTTCGTACCGATTGATTACAACCAAAAACGACTACAAGCTAAGGTGGACGGTAACATATTGCAGTGATATCCATGCCTTGATTGGAATTGAAGTGATAGAGCTCATGGATGGATGCGCAATCTACAAGGCTTTGGATTGGACATAACAATTTCAAGAACCAAAGTCTGGCTGAAGACTTAAAATTTAGCGCTTCTCGGGAGGCAACCCGAGCTTTACTGTTTTTCATATTTTTCTTTAATTTTATGTTTTATTTTTATTTTCTTAGGCATGCATTCTAATTAATTTATTTGATTTCTTATTTTTAAGGTCGGAATTGCGATCGGGACGGTCACCTGAGAGACAGAGAGGGCATCTTCGCAAGAGGAAAATCAAATTTCTTTCCCACAAATTCTCACACCCCGAAGATAACGATTCCGACTAAATCAGGTGTTTTCTATCCTTAAACTTTGTGCTAATTTCGTTGAGGGTAACGAAAATTTTAAGTTTGGGGGTGAAAAAAAACATGTTTTTTTTGCTTTAATTTTTTAGTTTGCATGCCTTAAGTTTTTTTATTTGAGTTATTTTATTTTAGTTATTTCTTTCGAAAAAAAAAAAATAAAAAAAAATTGCTTGAGATAAATGCTTCGATGAATCATGATGATGAAAGATGGTCGATGTTTAATGATGAAATTGCTTGTTTTATCTTGATTTTGATCGAATTTTGGTGAGCTTTTGATTCAAAGTTTCGTAAGAAGGAGTCATTGTTAGGAATCTCGAATTATGCGTTGCTTTGGTTGAAAGTTTTGTGTTTTAAAATTTGAGTTAATTTATGTTATATCATATGCTATTCGGTTTTAGAACTTGTCTTATGAATTTACAAAGTGAAATATTAAATTGTTGAGCAATTTGGGAAGTGATTTGGGCCATCTTTGAACCGTTTGAGCCTTTCAAGCCTACCTTTAAATTTTTATCATTCGAACCTTGATTGAGCCTTGGAGAAACGGTGTTCTTTCTTTTAGCCAATGTGTATAAGGTAGAATAAATGGAGATTCTTGAAAAATTACCCTTTGGAGT